CAAAAGCCATCCTGGACTCAACCTCTCCTCCACCTCCTGCCCGACTCTTCCCTCCATGCTCAGTTCTCTGTACTTTCTCCTTTCCTCTTCCTCCTCCAACCCACTGCACATTGCCTTTGACCCTCACCCCTCCACTGAAGCTGCTTTTACCCAACTCACCAGTTACTTCCTTACAAGCAAACCAACGGACAGTTGTGGACCCTCATTTCATCGACTGGTAGCATTTGATACCATTAACCACTCCTTTCAGAAACACTTTCATGGCCCCAGTTCCTGATTCTCCTCCAACAACTCTAGCCGCTCTTTCTCAACCTCTGTAGCAGGTTCCTCTGACATGAGCATGCTCCTGAGTTCTTTCCCAGGCCCACTCCCCTGCTCAAAATCCTTCAGTGATGTGCCACGTCTTCAGCCTAAAGTCCAAACAGCTTAACATGGCTTATAAGGTTCTTCATGACAAGGACATTCTGACCACTTCCCCCAGCACTTCTTAGACAAGTCAACTTCCCTCACATCCATGGCTTAGAGTGTGCATGGCCTCCACTTGTGTCTGCCTTCTGCACACCAGACTAAGTTGTGCAGCCTCTGGGACTATGTCCACCGTGTCTACCACTATGTGTCCAACCACGGCCACTGCTTACAGCCAAAGATAGTTCACAGGGCTGTCACTTCCATCAGGTGGGAACTTCCTATTCTTCCAAATCATCATCCATGGGATAGAAGTTTTCTCTCCTCGTTCCTATCTGAATGTCTGGGAAATATCTTTTTGGTTAGTGGCCTCATCCAATTCTGAAATATCACTCAGTTTTCTTCCACAAATACTTATTTTCCTCTAGATTCTAACTTAGACTTTTCTTCTCTATCCTTAGATACATTAATGCATCATTACTTTAGATTTCATTAATTCAAATTTTGCAAATATTAGACCCAATGACACTTGTATACAAGTCCATTAATCCCATCACTAGGAATATTCAACTTTTTGCTGAAAAGGTAATGGAACTCTTAAATTACAATCTAGGAAAATAAGGTTTCATGTAACACATTTTCCTCTTTTGAACTTAATAATTAGTTTTTACAAAATCAATACTGTTTTAGTTACGATACTTCCATTAAAATGTAAAGTATGGTGAACTGAGGTTTTCCATTACCCTATCTTATTTTACTTGTTAGAGTATACATAATACAATGAAAATGGTCCTTTTTTACTAGGATATTTGCCTTCCATTGCGAACTTCTTACTAAGTCAAATGTCTGCAGGACAAGATAAAACCTGTCACGCAGTCACTGATAGGCATGTGTAGAGCTGGAAAGAGTAGCCCTGAGGAGAGAAAGCCTCGGGGCGCAGGTCCAGGCTCATGTTTTGCAAAGTCTGGCTGAGCTCTGTAAGGCACACCAGGAGGAACAAGAGTGTCGGCGTGCACTGTGTCAGCCGCGACTGGGCTTCTGACCTGCACACCTGACTTTCCTGGGGACTTGATGACAAACACAAAACGGCTGAGAGAGTGTTTTACAGATTCTCACAGGGATGCTGGCTACGTGGACTATTCAAGTCCTCCTCCTGGCCCCAAAGAATTCAATTTCACTTAATCCATTAAACCAGGCTCTCAATCTTAAACTCATGCTATACAGATGGTGTGACTTATTAGAATTAAAGACTACCTGTAGCTAAAAACATGGCTTTAATTTTATTTTCCAAAATGTTCTCATACAATACTGCTCGGAGTAAATTCATGAAACCTTTTGAAAGGCAATTTGGCCTGATGCATCACTTTACTTAAGAATGTTCATATAGTTTAAGTTAGCAATTATACAAAGAAATGACCATAGATGGAGAAGCCCAGGGCACATAAAAAAAGGTTGTTTAGAACAGCAACACCAGAAATAGGGAAATATTTTGTGCTTGCTGTGTTCTACATATCACTTTTAGCGTTTCACATTTGTCAATGCATTTAATCTGCACAACAACTCTAGGAAGAGGTGCCATTACTTTTTCCTTTTCTAGATAAGGAAGCAGGCGTGGAGAGGCATTTGTCCCAGCTGGTGCTACAGCTGAGGTTTATTTAAACAGCCCAGCTCCCGAGCCAGTCCTTCAAATACTATCATGTTTTCTGACAGGCACACCTCAAAAATCATGTAGTTGAGTTGTTGTGTTTGTAATAATGTAGAAAAATACTTACGTTATATCTAGTTAGAAAAACAACTATAATCACAAATGTAAATATACACAAAAGAGAGAGAAGAAAAAGAATAAACCTCTATGCTTACAAAGATATTCAAAGGTTTAGACATCAATGTGATGATGTTTGGGTGGTAGAATTATGATTTTTTAAAAATATGTTTTTATTGATTTTTTTTTAGAGAGAGGAAGGAAGAGATAAAAACATCAATGTGAGAAACATTGTTTGGCCGCCTCCTGCACACCCTCTACTGGGGATTAAGCCTGCAACCCAGGCATGTGCCCTGATCCGGAATTGAACCTGAACCTCTCAGTCCATGGGACAATGCTCAATCCACCAAGCCACACTGGCAGAGCTCTATAATTTTCTATTTTTTAAAAAGTAAGCATATATTGCTTTTTAAATGGTAAAAATGTTTCCTGGCCCTGGCTGGTTTTTGCTCAGTGGTTAGACATCGGCCCGAGGACCAGTGAGTCTCGGGTTTCATTCTGGTCAAGGGCACGTACCTCGGTTGCAGTGGAGATGTGTGGGAGGCAGCCAGTCAACGTGTCTCTCACATTGATGTTTCTCTCTCTCTCCCTCCCTCCTACTCCATCTGAAGATAATAGAAAAGTATCGTTGGGTGAGGATTAAAAACACAAATGTTTTCTGCTCCCACTCACATATCCCTCCACTTCCCTCCCCCTTGCTTCACTTCATACATCTGCTGCAAGATTTTTCTCCTAGTCCTTACTTCTCCCAACTTTTATTTCTTATGCTTTTTTCTCTTTCCTTTTTTTCCTTCTGTGTTGTCCTTGTTGCTCCCTGGCCCCCTCCCCATTCCACAGGCCCCTGAGCAAAGGAGACAAAGCCCCTGGCCCTGCTGGTGGTGAATGACAGACACCTTTTGGTCTCTGTCCCTGTACCCTGTCTGTGGCGCCTTCCCTGCAGCACTTTGCTTTGCCCTCATCCCCTTCCTTCTCCCAGGCCTGCAGTTCTCTCTGGAGTGTGACTGCCTCCAGTCACAGGTCCTCAGGTCGCCTTTCGCTCTCATGAATACCTGGCTGGCAGGCTTGGTGGACTCATCCCAAGGGCATTTCCATGTGCACAGCCTGATTTTCACAGGTGCCGTAGGGACGGGGTTCAAGGCCCCTCTGTTCCCCCAGGTCATCTAGCCTCTGAGTGAGATTCAACTCAAGAGAACCTAGTAGTTAAGCTAAGAAGGAAAACTGACTAGATTGGTAAAATAGGGCCTGTCAGACACTTTTTCCCTGAATTCCAGGTTCGTTGCTTATAACCATTTGGCTACAGATTAAGAAAGATTTTTGTTATTTAAAATTTTATCCCCAGTTAGCAATTTTTGTGTGTGCCAGTTTTCCCCTCGAGTCTTAATTCTCAAATATCGGATAGTGAGGGACACTGGTAGCCTTCAAAATATAAGGCGATTCCTGTTCAAAACGTGTTCGCCTCACTCCAGTCCTCATCATTTCACACCCTTCGTCCTGCTAGTCACTGACCAGCCTCTCCTCCTCCTTGCTTCCTGCAGGGGTTCTCATTCACGCCCTTCGAAAACAAAAAAGCTTTCAAGTTACCTGGTCTCCAGATTCATCAAGTTAAAATGCTAAGTATAGCTCCCCAACCCCGGCCCCAAAAAAGGAAAAATAAACATCACCTTTTTCCCCTCATTATAAAAGTAATGTGTGTTCCTTGCAAACAAACAAATTCAGACAATATATAAAAGTGTGAACAAGAAAGTGGCAATCTCTTGTAATTTTATCTTCCAGAGGGAGATATGGTTATTAATCCGCTTGGCTTTTCGAGCTATCAAAATCCCACATGGCCAAATATATCTGCCACGGCTGTCTCCTTCCTCTCCTCGAGGCCCACACGTGCACTGCCACTTCCGTGGCTCTCTCTGCTGGTGGAGTTCAATTTTCAGCAATTGCCCCCACCCATCCAACTCATCTCCAATTTTTAAAAATCCAGCTCAAGCTTTTCCTGATGCATGAAGCCTTTCAAGGCTTACCAATGTATAGAATATATACTCTGGGCCACACAATTCAACCATATAAATGTCTTTTTGGATGCTACTCTTTCTCTCCACTTCGTTCATATACTGTCAGGACCCTGGGATTGTGCCTTATCTTTTTCTAGAGCTTAGTGGTATGGGAGGCAATCATGAATGTCTGTCTAATAAATTCATACAAATAAATAAGTGGTTAATTGAGTGGCTTCCTTTTAAGTTAGTGAAATTCCTTACTCAATGCATTAAATTTTTTATAGGTTCCAAGCTTACAGGGCCTGTGATAATTTACATGAATATCCTGAAAATGTTATTAAATGTCCCCCACACCTTGTCACAGAGACCTGTGAAGATATGGGTGTCGATGAAAACAGGGATTCTCCTTTGGCTCCAGTACAAAGCTGATGAGTTGCTGGGGTATTATTTACTCCCTACTCACTAAAAAGCACCCCTTCTATAATTACTCCATCAAGTTCACACCATCCTTGGTGCCCAGAATGATGACATCACCATAAATCAGTGATCAAGCTCCTGGTGTTGCTTAAGTGGCCAGCTGATGAATGTCCCTGGGCATCATCTTGGTGCAGAATATTCTGATAGATTTAACAAAGGTTCTGATTCAGTCAAGGGCCATGGAAGGCTCCATGGCATCGAGGGACACTGTCCGGCAACTCCAAGCAAGAGCCCATGTGAAAAAGAAAGTGAATGGCAGTGACCAGGATGGAGGCAGGTTTGCTTCCCCACAGTCATCACCTGTTTTTACACTGTATGTGTGGAATTAGCAAATTGCTAACCAATAAGAGTTGTGTATTCATGCTCACCTCTCATCACATTTAATCAGAATCACGCTGTCTGTTCCAATGCCCAAGGCTGCAGCTCCCTTCTTGAGAGAAAAATGACTCTGTAAAAAAGGCACATTTATAATTAGTTGCATATAAACTCAAGATCCACTCCCTTAGCTATTATTTTTTCTTTTCTCCTATTTCTCATCTGTCCCTCCAAAGCCTGGATTGCTGAGAGAAGAAGGCATCCTACACTTGGGCTTTAAAAAAGATTGTGGTGAAATATACATACATACAATTTACATACATAACATATAATTTACCATCTTATTGCTGTGCAACCATCACCACCATCCATCTCCAGAACTCTTTTCATCTTGCACAACGGAAACTCTGTACCCATAAAACAACTGCTCCTCATGCCTCCCTCTCCACAGCCCTTGGTGACCACCATTCTACTTTCTGTTTCCATGAACCTGACTATTCTAGGAACCTCATATAGGTGGAACTATACACCCTTTGTCCTTTTGTGAGTGGCTTATTTCACTGAGCATAATGTCCTCCAGGTTCACCCATGTTGTAGCTTATGTCAGAATTTCCTTCATTTTCATGCATATTGTTGTTTCATATATGTTGTATGCATATTCATTGTATGCATACAACATGTTTTGTTTTTCCATTCGTCCATCAGTAAACACTTGGGTAACTACTACCTTTGGCCATGAGGATAATGGTATTCTGAGCATAGGTGTACAGATATCTCTTAGAGCCCTACTTTTAATTCTTTTGGGTATACTCAGAAGTGAATTGCTGAATCATGTGGCAATTATTTTTTTTTTTTTTGAGGAATTGTCATTCTGCTTTTCACAGCAGCTGCACCATTTCCCACTCCCACAGCGCTACCCAGTGGTTCTCTACATCCTGTCAACAGTTATATTCTGCTTTTTTGAGAATAGTTATTTTGATGGGTGTGGAGTGATACCTCATTATGGATTTGTTTTGCATTCCCCAATGATTATTGACATTGAGCAAATGTTCATGTGCTTATTGGCCATTTGTACATCTTCTTTGGAGAACTGTCTATACAAGTCCTTTGCCCATTTTTGAATAGGTTTTTTGTTTGTTTGCTTGCTTGTTTGTTGTTGTTGTTGAATTCACTTGGACTTTTAACTAAAAATAATATGATCTTGGAAGGTGTAAAAGGACCTGTGACCCCAACACACGGTAATTCAAGCCAATTTTATACACAGGGAGTAAGAACACATCAACTGCCTCCAACAGCAGTGTATATATGGCTCCCCCCAAACTTATATTTTGCTGCCAAGAGATTACACTCAATTTCTTTCAAGTTCGGTATAATTGTGTGCACCCAAGTAAGAGGAGAGATTGGCTTTAAATTCAGCACTTTTTGTCCCAGGCCTATTGAAGGGGCTATTTGTTGTGCAGGTGACTGCCCAGCCTGGGGTGGGCTCAGGAAGGAGGCATTGGTTCCTGGTTTGGGCAAAACATTGACAAGGAGCCGCTACATCTTGGTTATTGATTCCGGATAGGAATCTGAATCTCAGTGGCTGGATCACTGTGCAATTCAGAAAGCTGAGAGAGGCTAACCTAAGCCCAGCTGTACTGCATCTGCTCAGCAGCCTCTTACTATTAACTACAGATCATTAAGCTGTCCAAAAGGGGAGCTCTTGCCTCAATTTACATCTCAAAAGGGCTGCTGACTGGAATTTTAAGTTACGGTTCCTGAGTACACTCTCTTTGAATGCCCACTTTGATTTATTTGAATTATTAAATATGCAGCATAAGAACTGCCACATACTCTTATTTTAGGGTGTGTGTCTCATAAGCAAGAGGAAATCACATTTAAAACAACAGCACATCATGGAAACCGGTAAACGAGGCACTGAACAGAGGTGTTTAAAAAACCCAGTGTAGCTCAGAAGTAATGAGAAAGGGCCATTAGCCTCATTTTATAACCTCGGAAAGACAACGTGCACATTTGTTACCAAGATACCTGGAAAGTAGGAAAGAAAGCTTAATTGGGTTTGTAAAGATGTATGTCTTCCCCACTAAAAACAAAACAAAACAGTGCCCTCTCTTGCTTATTTAGTAGATCCCTGGGCCACTGAGAAAAGGAGAAAACGGCGCTAAGTCCCCTGACAGGAGGGCACAGAACACAGGAAAACAGCTGCCCCACTGAGCAAGCACAAGTTACTCAAATTAGGCCCCTCAGTGAATGAGCTTGTAAGCACTAAACTGCCAAATGGCAAATTGGGGATAAGTAAGAGATCTGGTGCACCTGGTCAATGAGAGGAAGTCGTTCTGCCTGTTTTTTAATGAGAAAGAATAGGGATCTCAAATGAGGAGCAATTAAGCAGGAAAATTGATCACTATACCAAATGCCACACACTTAGACAAACACGTGCCCGAGCAGAAAGCTTAAAGAGGGAGAACCTGGGTGATATGAGGCATGAAAGAGAAAATCAGATACCGAACACTGTTTATATTTTCAGGAAAGGGAGCAGGGAAATAGCTAAATGTTGTCCACAAATAGCAAGGGACATAAAGAGGAAGGACTTAGAGAGAGAAAAAAACACGGCCAAGGCGGAAGAAACAGCGAAGCCAGCTTAAATGTCTCATCTCTCTGCGCTGATGAAAAATCATTTTTAATCCTTAGCACCATGTTTCACGGAACCATTGTTGATAAACCAGAGCACACTAGCTTCCTGGATGGTCAGGAGTCTGCGAACCAACTGTCTAGAGAGAGCTCAGAGAACGCGTGGTCACGAGCAGAGGCCATGAGACATGTGGCAAGGGTGGCCTTTATGTCTGAAGGGCCGTGCCGAGGCAGGAGTAGAGGAATAGCTCTGGGTGGCTACAGAAAGCAAAACTATGAACAAAATTTAGAAGCTCTAAGGATTCAGAGGTGTCCCTTAAATCATCAAGACTGTTATAGTAATTAATAGAATAGCTGGGGAATGAGCTAATGAATGTCCCTCTTGCCTCCCCAACCCTGATTTTGTAAGTAAAATGTAAGCAGGCTTTCTGGGTTTGAGTGGGATGAAACTGTCCAAAGTAAGAATATGTGAAAAGGAGAGCATGAGCTCTGCCATTTCTTAAATATGTTTGTATTGATTTTTTTTTTTTTTTTTAGAGAGAGAGGGAAGGAGAGAAACATCAATGTGAGAGAGATACATCAATCAGCTGCCTCCTGCACGCTCCCGACTGGGGACCGTACTGGACCTCTGGGGCCACAGGACGATGCTCAATCCACTGAGCCACACCGGCCTGGTGAGCTCTGCCATTTTATCCAGCCTTGGGACTGTGGGGTGCAATCAGCTCCTTCCTTCTTTAATGGGCACAGTAAATCTTACCTGTCTTTAGGGATGGTGGGAGAGTAAGGGAACTGGTAGAAAGTTCTGAGACAAACCACTTCAGTCTCTGGACATGCTAGTATCTCTTCCTATGTATAATTTAGATAAGCAGTGGGAAGTTGCATTAATTCTTTCAAGCCATTGTTAGTCACATCCAGATATTTAACAGAGGCTCAGATTCAACTGCTTAGCGGACCACTTTAGGGAAATCCTCGTCTAGGCTTGGGGAACATAAAGGTTATTAAGACAGCCCTCAGTACCTAGTTACCTTTATCCTCCACCCCCTCCCTACCTTGTGTCCTACTTCCCCTCCTCTCACTCACTCTACCTGGTGGTACTGGCTTTCCTGGTCTTCTGTGAGCTTGCCAAACTTGTTCTCACCTATGGGCCTTTTTATTTGCTGTTCCATTTCTTGAAAAATCCTTCCCCAGATATGGAAATGGCTCTCTCCCTCATTCCATGTAGGTCTCTGCTACGTATCACCTCTACAGAGACCTTCTATGACCATCCTAGAATAGCCCATTCTCTTGTCACCACGTGACGTTACATATTCATTAGTTTACCCACTATTTGTGCCCAAATAGAACACAGGCTACATGAGGGCAAAACTTTGTTGTAGTGTATGGTTAATAAGTATTTGTTGAGTTGGAACACATGCTCAGAGAACAAATCCAGGGAAATATCCACTATTTATTTCCATAAGTCTCTGACCACAAGTCCCAATGTTGAGAAGTAGTTTTGGTGACTGGGGCTACACAATGGTGGGCCAAATGGACCTCAATGCCTTTAATCTAAGGCCCATTCTGAAGCAAGTCCGGAGGTCTTCTTATACCCACCCCAGAAAGCCTAAGGTGGATCTTTCCCAGGCAGGAAACAGCTGTAGGTCCTTCTAAACAGACCAGCTGCTGGGGGAAGAAAGAAGCAACCAGAATTTCAAATAAAGAAAAGAGAAAGGATACACTAGGTTGGAGATCTCAGCTCTTAACTCTTCTGACATTCTATCAAAAGCTCTACCTTTTATCTCTAAGGTCTGTCAACTGTCCTTGGACTTGATTCTTTTATGCCAACACTCTCCCCTTTGTGGATGCAGTGAATGGAGTCTGTGTGGAGGAACACTGAGCCCAGCTGAAAGGATTACACATCATCATACATCCAGAATCCCCAACAAGTAAATCCTGAAGTTCAAACTATGAATGAACTAGAATCTTCTGCTTTGGCTCCTTCTCTGTGTCGCACCCTCGTCCTCCCCTCAGCGATTGCAGGACCAACAGTCTCCCCTCGTCCATCAGCTTCTCAGTACCCCTCTCACACACCCATTGGTTTGCCTCCCACCCATCCTGAGATTTAAGGGAAACGGTAGGTCCATTTGTCAGAGAGACTGGTTGCCCTTGTTCTTACTTCTGTTCCTCAGATGGCCTAAAAGAGCTTTCTGCTTTCTAAAGCATCTGATTTACAAAGAAGCTGGTACTCCGTGAGACCGCCTCATCAATTTCTATTATGATTTGGAGGGGAGCGGATTACCCAGCCATGTTCCTAGAGACACTCTGTGAGTCAGAGGTGATCTGGATGTTCACACAAAGCATTTCTGTGAAGCTGCTACCTTATTATTCACACTCAGTTCTATAATTTAAAGTTATCCCATTGTGAGCTTGTGCCCAAACTGTCTGTTAAAAGGTCCTGGTGTGTCCTAGGCTTAAGCTGACATAAAACATGAACACCAGCATGAAATATGTCACATTGATCAC